TATCTCAAGATCCTTATTGAATCACAGTTCTTTTACCTTATAAGATACCGTTTTCACAGATTCTAGGTTTAGATATGGACATCTTTGTGGGACCATTATTCTGGCTGCCATAGAACTTCTGACTCTGTCTCAATATTTTCTTTTATGTCCTAACCTTCATATAACATCTTGAGAGAATTCCTCAATCTTTCAGTTCACTAATTTGATCTTCTGTTATGTTCATTCTGTTTTATAGTCAAATCAGTTTTTAATTTCAGTAGCTATGTTTTTAATTTCTAAGAACTCTGATGTATGTGGTATATGTGAACACAACCCTTTGAATCTGAAAATATCAATTAGACTTATTTTAGTATTTTTTTCTTACTTTCCCTATTAACTGTTTCCTTGGAAATTAATTGGAGTTTGTACTTTCTCTGCTGTAGGTTTTTCTCAAATATTTAAGTGACTCTTCATTTCCAAATAACGCTTTTAGAATAATGTTTAGATATCACAGTGTTTGAGATCATGTGTATTTTTCTTCAAAGTGAGGTTTTCCATTTCTGCAGTTAGAATATAGGTTCTACTTTCAGAAGTGTTGATGGTTGTAAGAAGGACAGAAGAGTCTTCAGGCGGGGGAGGTGATCTTTTAGGCTATGCAGTCCATCCTAGTAGGTAAGAGGGGCTCAAATACTAGATATGTGGATCAAACTCTGTCTCTGCCATGTACATTGGAAGATTTACCTAACCACTTTGTATCAGTTTACCTCTCTAAAGTTGTGAAAAGAGGAGTACATATGAGGACTAAGTAAATCAGTACATATAAAGTTCTAAAGCAGTGCTGGCATATATATGGTAAGAGTCAAATATATGTTAACTGTTTTTTATTTGCTTGCTTTTAATGCTTAGTTGGTGATTGGTTTTTTGTTTTTTTTTTGTTTTTTTTTTTTTTTAGCAAATGCTAGAGTCAGTTGGTTTAGCCCTTTCTGCCAACCACCTATAGGCTGCTTCTTAGTCCCTGCTGCTTCTGCTCTTGAGATTATTATCTGGGAAAATTCTTCCATCATCTCCAATTTCCTCCCACTTTTACTCTTTAAAAGAAATTAAATTAACAATTTGATTTCCAGCCTCCCATAATTTTTCTACCCACACACTAGTATATGTAATGTATAATGACCTATACATAAAATTCTCTCCTCACTTTTTAAACAGAAACTAATTTATCTGAAATTTTCTTTTTCAATTACTATATTTAGACAT